GGAGGAGGAAGAGGAGGAGGAGGAGGAGGAGGAAGAGGAGGAGGAGGAAAAGAAGGGTAGTAAGAGGAGAGAGGAGAAATGATTATCATAGAAACACACATGGGCCACATGAACTAAACAGGGGCCTATTCTTCTGTTACCATGGTTTGCCACCTCCGGGCTGGTTTCCCACTTCCGGGCTATCCTGGGAGAAGATTCTGAGCCCAAGGAGTTGGGGCCAGCACTACCCCGGAGCCACATCCATATGTGTCTGTTCTGCACCTTCCTTTTCAAATGCATCTTCCCACTACTTCACTTGGTCCAGATGCTCATTAGGATGATGCTAGGACCAGAATGAGAACCCCAGGTACATAGACACAGGGTTTGCATTCATGGAGCTTCAAAGGCTACAGAGCAACAGGATGGTTTTGTAATGCAGAAGAGTGGAGGTTGCTGTGCCTTCTTATTGGAAAAGGGTCAGTCACACCTCCTGAGAGAAACTTACCTTCTCAGTCCTGAAAACATGAGGAGGGTTTGGCAAGGCAAAAGCAAAGAGGGATGAGTGTGCAGGTGCAGCCCACATGCCAATGACAGGTGAGACCAAGCAGGACCAGAGATGCTCACAACCTGCTCAGCTGGAAGATAAATAGAGTTACCTTCTAGAAGATCCAGTGTGACTCTCCCCACCACACACACACACACACACACACACACACACACACACACACCCCAGGGGACTGTGCTATCCCACCTCTGTGTACTTCTCCCCACTACTTTTGCTGCTACCCACTCACTGTGGGGACTGAGGCTTTATGGCCACCCTAAGCAATCTGCGTTCTCACTCATCAGAATTACACAGATATGTGGAGTCTGCCAGCCCAACTTGCCCATGATTCATTAGGGGTTTGATCTGTGACATCATCTGCCTTCTACAAATGTTTGAAGATTATTTTTAGTCCTTGCATCTGTATTGATGATGATGGGGTTTGAAGACCACTGCCACTGTCTTGGAGCAACATGAGTTAAAATCAACATGCCAAATGTTTAGGAAGGCATGAGCCCCAGAAACCTGGGGAGCATTTCTGTTGTGGCCTGTGGCCCTGCATCCTGTTCAATCGGAGCATATAGTATAAGGCAGTGCAAGGCTGCTAATATATGGGCACCCCGTGGCCACCTGCCTGCAGAGCAGGTGAATTCCTCAACTGGTTCCATTCCTACAGATGTAGGCTTCCTGAGGGCAAATTCTACATCTTGTCCATTTAATCCTGCCCTGTCTTTATTTACAAAGCAAGCATTCCAGAGATTGCAAGTCAACAGCTCACAGTTCCTTTCTGCTCCATTTTTATTTGCTCATCCCAAAGAAAAAAGCCAGGTGTGGAAAGGCCTGGGGCAGTCAATCAAACCTCAGCTACCTTGAGCCTCAGTTTCCTTAGCCACTGCATAAGCAAGTGAAAAAAAGTACTTCAGTTTCCTTCTGTCTCAAACTCTGTTCATTTCAAAGTAATTTACCACAAATGTTAGTCTTCTTGTGGTGGCTTACAATGTTCATCCGGGAAAATGGGTTGAGAAACTTGGACTTGATTTTAATGATGGAATTGGTTATTATCTTACCTAATTACTACCTTTTCAAAAGTACATATTTTTCTGTAGTTTACAACCTTCTCTCCTTGTCATTGTCTGCTTTGTCTCCCCCAATAACATGTGATGGAACCTGTGATTGTCCCTCATTCCCAATGAGATTGCTGAGGCTCAGAGACCTGTTAAGTCTGCAGGGCTATGCAGCCAATAAGAAAGATAAATACTGGCTCCATTTTAGCTCCCAATATGAGTCCTTGCATTCTGTTAAGAACAAGGTGCACCTTTCCTAAATACCATACAGGTAAGATCAGCAGTTTGCATTTTACAGTTTTGCAATGCTCTTTGTAGGGTCACTGTTTAAGTTGTGACAGGCCCAGTGCCTATTAATAGCAGTAGTAACAGGTGTGCTAGCACTCAGGTATGGTTTCCAAGGGAGTAGGTAGAGAAAACAAAGAATGCAGGAAGGTGGGGAGAGAGGCACTTAGGGTCAAGAACTCAAAACCCTGAGTTGTTTCTCAGACACACCAGGGCAACTGCTTCAGGTAGAACAGAGGCAGCTTGGAAAGTTAAAATATTTGAAGGAGAAAATAGCTGTGAAGCCCAGGTCTCTTTTTTTTAGTGACGTCCAAAAGTTGTCATTTATATCTGGAATGTCCCCCAAAGCCCATGTGTTAAATGCTTGGTCCCAGCCTGTGGTGCTATTGGGAAAAGGTGAAACCTTTGAGAGGTGGGGCTTAGTGGGAAGTTCAGGTCATTAAGGCATGCCTTGGAGGGGATTGTGGGACCTTGGTATCTTCTGCTCTCTTTCTTTCATGTCGCAGTCATGAGGTGAATGGGATTCCTCCACCACACACTCTAGTCATGAAGTGCTACCTGGCCTCACCTAGAACCTTCAGAACTGTACTACAAAATAAATCTGTCTTCTTTAGAGTTGATGATCTCAGGTATTTTGGTATAGTAATGGAAAGCTAACTATCAATGGTGCTATTAGACTAGATGACCTCTTGATCTAATAGTCTGTACTCAGAGATCAAAAAGAGCAATTGTGGCATCAGGTTTCCTTCAGGGAAGCACAGAATCCTTCAAATCCCCCAGGAAGGTGAAGATAAAAGGATAGAGTTACTGTTCCCAGAAGGGTTAGGAAACTCATTGTGCCCAGGACTCATCTCCCCCACCATGCAGGGCATCTTGTTCTTACCTTCCCGTCCTTGTTCACAGCTTGTGCCTAACTTTCCACTCAAAAAAATGTCACCTCCTCTGAGCAGCTTTCCTTTCAACCATTCACTCACTCATGCACCCACTTATTAGTAAGCACCTCCTGTATGCCAGGCGATACTCCAGGAAATAGGCAGACAGGCAAAGAAGAAGAAGAAGCTTTTGTGAGATCAAGACATCATTTCAGGGTTAGGGATTACCTTGAGGAAAAAGGCATATAATTATGAATAAAAACTAGGCTGAGCATTCTGGAAAGGATGTGTCTATGAGGGACCAATAATCTCGAGCATAATTAACCCACCAAGACCAAGGGACACATACATGTGAGGGAAGGCTCCAGATGGAGGAACAGCAAGACATTCCAGAATTTGGGGTGACCAAGGTAACCACCATGGAGGATACAAGAGAAAAGAACGGACAGAGGGAGCTGAGGCTACAGAGGATCCCCTGTAGGAAGGTGAAGTGATAAATAGTCTTTGGGGACCATCATGAGGTCCTTTGAGTAAAATGGAGTGATCAGGGCAGTAACATACCTGACTCAGGTGTGACAGCTCCATCTTGTCCTTTCACTGGGTTAAAGGATAATCTTAGGCTCACTGAAATTTTGATGAGTCTGTTTGAGCATTCAGTGATTCATGCATCAGATAGTGCCAGACCACAAGCTGTTCAGTGCTCCGTTGAAGGGGTGCATGGGGGAGCTTTAATAAGATGTTCCAGGGAAAAAGACAAAGAAAATATTTGATGAGTTAAAGGTTATATGGTTAGGTGGAGTACACATGCATTTCCCTTTACTGTTTCTGTTGACTTTTGTGTTGCTAATATAGGAATTCCAAGTGGAACTGGGTGCTATAGTGAATATCTATAATTCTAGCAGCTCTGGAGGCTAAGGCAGGAAGATCTCAAGTTTGAAGTCAACCTCAACAACTTAATGAGGCCCTAAGCAATTTATTGAGACATTTTCTCAAAATTAAAAAGTTAGGGCTAGGAATGTAGCTCAGTGGTAAATCACCTTTGGGTTTAATCCCCCATACCTAGATAGATAGATAGATAGATAGATAGATAGATAGATAGATGATAGACAGATAGATAGATGATAGATAGATAGATAGATAGATAGATAGATAGATAGATAGATAGATAGATAAAGAATCCAGGGCACTGGAACTGCCTCTGACTAATTGCCTCCCACCCATCACTTGACCATGAAGTTCCTTGAAGAACCAAAAATGAAATTTATTAAATATCTGTTCTCTTGCCATCACTCCCTGGCCCTGGCAAAATGCTGGCAGGAGCTCATAGAAGGTTTCTGTAAAGTAGAAAATGTAAGAATATAGTTCTGAATTCTCTCTCTCTCTCTCTCTCTCTCTCTCTCTCTCTCTCTCTCTTTGAAAATATAAACAGAAATCACTTAATTTAGAATGTGTCCCTCCAGGCAGCGTCATGCCATGCAAATCCTTGAGGAATTTAAAGGTGTTATCTTCACTCTCTTAGAGGAGCGGCACAGAACACTGACAGCATTCCACTTGCTCAGGCATCTACCAAGAAAATAACACTCGTCAGCCTATGCCGTATTTAGCAATCAGGGATTTCATTTGGCATATTTCTGGACAAATGGTAAATTCTAATGACACAGCAAAAAATTCAGGGCTTAGGAGGGAGTGGAACAAGGTCACTCCCCTGACAGAGGTACCTGGAAGAAGATGACAGTGGAGGGTCTATTCAAAGATGGGCCACAGTTGGGGGGGGGCAGGGGTGGGCTCAAGGAGGGAAGCAGTTGGAAATAAAGCTCCCTGGCACAATTACATGAATGGAGGATGTGCATATGTCTTCTCTAATTTCCACGTTTAATAAGATAGCTCTCTGATTTGTGACTGTTTTTCATAAACAAAAAGATGTGACTAAAAACATAAAGGGTCAAGGATAGGTCAGATTAGAATAGCCACAGCACTCTAGGTCCTAGCCCTAGAGCTCCCCACCTCTCATGACCTTGAAGGCCTTCCACAGGAAGCTCAGTCAGAAAAAGAAAAGACAGTGGAATGATTTTTCTAGGTACATATATGAAAACATCACAGTGAATCTCACCATCATATACATCCACAAGAATGGATCCTAAATAAAATATGATATATTCCATGCTTGTATAATTATATCCAAATGGATTCTACAGGCATGATAACTAAATGAAACCAATAAGTGATTTTAAAAAAAAGAAGAAGAAGAGTGTATCATACTGTAAGGGTTAATAGAAGAATGGGCAAAGGAGAGAAAGTTCCTGTTCATAGTTTGTAAAGATAAAGACAGCCAGAATGTCTAATGAGAAGGGAGTCTGGGACATGGGACATGTGTCTTTGCATGCGTGTATATACATGTATGTGCATGCATGTACATGTGTGATCATGTGCAGTGTGTGTGTACATGCAGGTGTGCACATGTGTGCATATATACATGTGTATGTGTGTATTTTAGGAAAAGGAAGCCAGAGCCTACTTTTTCCAGGGGATGGGAGTACTAGGGATTGAGCTCAGGTGCACTCAACCATTGAGCCACATCCCCAGCCCTTTTCTGTATTTTATTTAGAGACAGGCTCTCACCGAGTTGCTTAGTGCCTCACCATTGCTGAAGCTGGCTTTGAACTCATGATCCTCCTGTCTCAGCTTCCCAAGCTTCTGGGATTACAGGTGTGTTCCACCGTGCCTGGCTCAGAGCCTGCTTTTCTAATTACAGCAAAGGGCAGCAGAAGAGGAATATATCTGGGAAAGAGAAGAATGCACCAAACTTATAAAATGAATGCATGTGTTCTTTTTTGCCTATCCTAACCTAAATTCATCCACATGATAGAAAATAATTCTAAAAGAATAACTTTATATCAGAATGAGAAAGCAAGGGCCAGCTGTATCTTAGGAGTAGAGAATAGGAGGGATGATTGGAGAACAGCAAACAGATAATTGACAGGGAAACCCTGGACTCAAGGATACCCAGGAGGAGCTGCTACAGCAGGGAGAGTCATCTCCCAGGAAAAGCAGAGCATTCAGTTAAACAAAATGGTGACGTTTACAAAATTGTCCTTTCTCCTCATGACAGAACTACCATCCCAAGGAGCTCTAGAAATGGTACCCTGCTCAGAAGTAAGGCATGACTGACTGTCAGCACCCCTGAGGGGCAAGGCCAGGCCAGCTCAGATCATCCAGAGTGCTCAGTCCCACTGAGTCAAGCAGCTAGAACTCCATAAGGACTATGCCCTGGGGATCCTCCTTACAGAAGAGCCACACACACAAGTCACCACACGTTTGACAGAAACCAACTGGGTGACTACATCCACAGAAATAAGAATACATTTGAAATTTGAATTAAGATTAATATCTTCAAAGGGATCTGAGACGACAGACTATTATAAAGAAAGTTAAGTGTTCTGCAAATTAAAGAGATGCCTAAAAAAAAAAAATCAATTCAAGGGCCAAAATGAAGCTTAAAAAAAAAAAGAAAACAAAAAGCGTATTAGTGAACCAAAAGATCAAGGGAGAGTGTTTTTCCAAAAATCAGAACATATGGGCAAAGAAGTGGAAACTACAGGAACAATAGCAAAAGCAAACAAAAAAACAAAAACAAAAAGGGAAATTAGATTCAGAAGTTTCAATACCAAAAGTGTCCCAGAGTAGAGGAATGGAGAGCCCAGCGTTGTACAGGGCCTGCTCAGCACCAGGGAGGACTAATTCTGAAGACTGATGCCCCAGTAGACACGCCAGGATGTGCAACCCAGGTGCCCTGCCTGGAAGGAGCCCATACTCAGCTACAGGGGTGCAAGTAGTCTGCACCTGAGCTGGGGTCTCAGCAGCAGGGAACCCTCCCTAACCTGCGTTCTGGCCTTCCTGGAGTGGCATGCACCCGTTAGAGAGCAAGCATGCCAAGTGTCCACTGCCACCAAGCCCAGACTCCCACTGTCTGGGGTATGAAGCAGTTTGAGGCTTCCTATGGCCAGTCCTTCCTCCTCACCCAACACAGGTATTGATTTCAGGTGAACACTTGGCCTGAGATGGATACTCGAACACACGGTGAATGCCTGACATCAAGGATACACAGAAACTTTCAGAAGCTTCTAATGTACTCACATAAAGTAAGCTGATCACAAAAGAATTAGAATAAAACTGGCTCAAACATCCACAGCACCACATCTTCAAAGCAAATGATTAAGAACTTACTGTTCTTTATGTTGGCTACCAACAACCATTTGTGAAGGGAGTAGAGAGGCAGGGGCCGGAGGGGTACAGAAGAGGAAGTTTTTACTTGCAAGAATTCAGAAAAGTTACCATATAAAGACCTTCTTTTAAAAGAATGATTCAAGAATATAATTCAGCAAAATAAAATTTTAAAAATCTAAAAAAAAAAAGATAACTTAGGCTTGAAGAAGCAACACATGCTCAGATGGAGAGAACCTGTTATTGCTACATAATTGCTATTGTAAATGGAAAAAAGAATCCAGATTTCAATTTGGAAATGTGAAGCTCCCAAAACCAAGAGGGACGGGGATAAAGAAGGGATTAGTGAAAGGGAGGAGGGATGGAGGAAACAGCAAATAAAAGAAAGAGGGACTGGAAGCATAGCTCAGTGGCAAAACAGTTACCTAGGATACCAGGGCCCTAAGTTTCATCCCCAGCACTGGGAGGGAGGGAAGGAAGGAAGGAAGAAAGGAAGGAAAGAAGGAAGGAAGAAAGGAAGGAAGGAAGGAAGGAAGGAAAGAAAGAAAGAAGGAAGGAAGGAAGGGAGGGGGGCGAGGGAGGGAAGAAGGGAAGGAAGAAAGAAAGGAAGACCCCCACACACACCGCCCAAAGAAAGGAAGGAAGGAATAAAGGTAAAGAAAATCGCAAGATAAATGAGCATGTCCACCCACAAGATATGGAATAAAAAGAAAGTAGAAAGGAGACGGAAGAAGGTAAGAGTGAGAGATGGAGGACTTGTCCTCTTCCATGACCTTCAAGCCATGGCCAAGATGACTCAAAGGTTCAGGCAGGACTTGGGGAATGGGCAGGCTGGCATGCAAAGGGCAATGCGCTGTGAGGAGAGTGAGGAGCAGAGGTGATCTACTCTGATACACTGTACCTAAGGCTAGCCAAGAGGCCAAGGGTGAAATAAGGAACTGATGAAGGGGGACCACCCGAAGCCAGGTGGAATGCCCTCCCAGTGTAGGGGTGGACCTGGTATATTCCCTGTGTCTCCTCTTCCATTCACCTGTCCTCTTGTCCAACTGAATTAAGGTAAAATCTCTCCTGACCAGAGGGAAGCTGCACTCCCAACACTATCTGCCCCACCTCAGCCACTGACTGGTCCTCATTAACCATCAGTAGCCCTGAAATAATTATGAGGGGCTGAAGTCCCTCAGAAGAGGGCCTACTGCAGGTTTTCTTTCATTCTCATCTGGCGAACAGAGGTCTTCAGAACTGAATCACTGTGTACCTGTGCACACACTGGCATGAGGGCATCCTCTCTTCCCAGTTGTTTCTCTTTGCTGAGGAAGGCCTACACTATCCCAGTCTGTCAGATAGATTAATTCAGTGAACTATCACACAGAACCCTGTAACCTGCTTCTCTGCTGCCTTATGGTGACTATGCTGGCTTCATGGTAAGTCAGAGAACACCAAATCTCCTAAAGAACAAGCCAAAAATATCTCTTTGCTTTTGATACAAAGATTTCAGGGGCAGGAAATTCTGGGAAGACTGGGATAACTATGAACTTGCTTTAAAAAATAATTTCTCAGCCGACTTTGGATCAGAACAATTCTTATCCTTAGAATAATAGGTGATGTGTGTTTAGGGTTCTTAACATTCCCTTGTGTTATTTTTAAATTATACTAAGACCCTAAAGTGCATGGATGCTTAGGGGAGAAGTAGAGAGAAGAGGCTGAACAGTCTCAATATCTACCTTTGGGAGGCTCTAAACCCAGAAAGAGCCATTATTACAGTCCAGGTTCAAAGGCAGGCAAAGCCTGATGTCCTCACTCAGCTCTGAGGCAGGAGGAGTTCCTCTTGCTCAATCTTTACTATTTTTTTTTTTTTGGTCCTCTGCTGATTGGAGGAGGCCCAGACTCCTGGGTAGGGCCATTTGCTTTACTCAATCCACTGATTCAGAAGTTAATCTCATCCAGAAACACCCTCACAGACTCACCCAGAATAATGTTTGACCAAATGTCTGGACAGCGCAGGTCCAATCATGTTGACACATGAAATTAACTATCACACCTACCCACTGGAGAATTTTGCTATATCTATATGCAGAATCTAGATGTCTCACAACAACATGGAATATCCACAAGTGTCTAAAACAGAGAATGCTCCTTATCTGAGGATGACCCAGATTTCACTCAAATCAAGGTAAGCAGGTACCTGATAAGACACAGTCAACCTGTGAGCTGGTCCAGAAAGAAACAGAAATTAATGTGAGTTCCTGTCTCCAGGAACAATCAAGCAAAAATCTGGGAGGAAAATCTGACTGAATCAACTTGAAAAAAATGATAGATGGGTAAAGATGCCAAAGAGAAAATTTCTAAGTTAATGCTTCTCCAACAAGAGCACTAAGATAGACGGAGACACTAGAGAGAGTAGGCTGGGAAGGATTGGCTGAAGTAGCATAGCTATGGAAGAGGCAGCATGCTGGAAGTCACGTTTCACTTCAAAAATTTATGGTGGCAGTAGAAACTAATGAGAGCAAGGACTCTTAATGAGAACTGGGTGCTAACTCCAGCTCTAACACACAGTAGATTATGTGAGACCTTGGGAAGTGTCAGCATCTGTGCCTCCATTATTCATCTGGGAAACAGGGCTAATAATAATACCTCCAAGGAAGGGATTGGTGAGGACTTCATAGCTGGGCAGTAGTGATGTACTTGGGACAGTGATTTCATGACTGCCTAGCTGTGATGTGCTTAGGACAGTGACTGGCACGCTGTGTACAGTTCACCTTCTTGTTCCATGAGTTCCACATTCCTGGATTCAATCAATTACAAATAAAAAATATTAGAGAAAAAATTGTGTCTGCAGTATACAGAATCTTTTTTTCCCTGTCACTATTTCCTAAACCACATAGTACAATAACAATTTGTTATGGTTTGGACCTTAGATTTCCTCTAAAACTTGTGTGCTTAAGGCTTGGTCGCCAGCTGATGGTGCTATTAGGAGGTGGAGGAAACTTCAGGAGTTAGAACCCAGTTGGAGGAAATAGGTCACTGAGGGGGGTGGGGGATGCGCCAGAGGTGGGTATTGATGACCCCTTTTTGTCTCTGCTTCCCAACCATCAGGAGATGGGTTACTTTGCTCCATCTTGGATTCCCTACCATGATAGTATGCCTCACCACACAAAATCATAACCCCCAAGATGATATTAGTAGACTTCGGGAAAAGGACTAGGTCATGAGGATGAACACTCATGAATGGGGCTAGCGCCCTTATATAAGAGACCTCAGAAAGGGCCCTCAGCTCTTCCACCATGTAAGGACACAAAGAAAGCACTATCTATGAACGAGAAAGGGGCCTTCAACAGTCACTGAATCTGCCAGTGCCTTAATCTTAGACTTCAAGCCTCCAGAACTATGAGCCTGCCAACCATGGACTTGAACCTATGAAACTGTGAGCCAAAATAAATCGTAACTCCTTTTAAATTGTTTATCATGGGTATTTTGCCACAATGACACAAAGCTGACTAACACACTATTTATACAACATTTGCATTGTGTTAGGCATTATGAGTAATCTAGAGATAAGTTAAAGTGTACAGGCAGATTACATAAGTTATATGCAAATGCTACACTACTTTAAGAGACATTAACATCTTCAAATTTTAGTATCTGCAGAAGGTCCTAAAACCAAATTCCCACGGACACCAACAACTATATTTGTTAAAAGACCCAAAACACAATTTTTTTCATTACAAAATATTATAAAATAATTTTTCATATTATCATAAAATAATATAAAAGGTAATTTCTTATCAATGAAATCATTCACAAATCATCCACATCCAATACCAAATTTCCTCACCCCAAACTTTGAGGAAACTTCTGAGCCTCTATGTTTGCTATGGATGAGAAATGGGTTCTGTCACATTTGCACAGCAAAATTCTACGAAAGTTTATGATCAATAAACTTTAATAAGCAATTCTTAAAAAATTAAACAAAACTAAACAGAATAGAGCTTTTGGAGCTTTTAGTGTGCTAATGAACATTGAAATTCTCCAAAAGATGAAAAGTTCTGCAATGTTGCATTGACTTATTTCATGATGAGCCCCAATTTTGTCCCACAACATGTAAAAGATCTCTAGGATACCATTGTGCCATGAAAGTTGCTCTGGGTGTTTGAGGCATTCAGAAGGGTCAGATATGCAAAGACAGCTGGCAGGGACAAGGAGTTTGGGTAAGACTTTCTCCAGCTAAATGTTGAAAAACTTTTTAAAAAGT